ATCCACCCCCATTCAAATCATAAGTCTCTAGCCGCATCTCTCAGAGTAAAAAAAAAGATTTATTAGGAGTGGTCATGTTGGCGTTAGCTGGGTGCAGCCAATATTAAAAATACACCATTCATTTCCCCCTTTGACCCTGGATGTATATTCTCCAATGGGACGCATCCATAGCCAAGAGTCATCAATCATGCTCTCCAATAATATTCTTGCACACCAACAGCTTTGGGCTGCCAACACGATTATCTGAGGTATTTAAGGAATGTACTGCTTTCCCCCACTCCCTTTCTGTTGGCAACTAAAAGACCAAAGGAGTATTTTTTAGTTGACAATCTCACCAATTTGGAACTCTAGACAAGTTGACCCAAGTCCTTGGGGAAAGAGTCAGACGTACCACATTTCCCAGAAAAGAAGACCGGGTCTTTGTTTCTTTTGGGACCCAAAATAAGCACCAGGTCTTATTTTCAGGGGATGCCTTCCCCGCTTCCCTTAGGAGCATTGTAGCCTTCTACACCCGGACACCTGTTGTGATGCTGTCAGACATCTTATGCAGCCGCTCACAGCCGTTCATGGCATGAGGCCACCTGGCTTATTGTGCTGGTGCTGCCGCTTACGGCAGGGCGCTGCACAGCTCATTGTGCCAGTGCCACTGCTCATGAGATGGCTCACATGCCGGTTCAAATGCTCATGGAAGGAGACTGCATGGTGTATTGTGCCATTGTGTGCACAAGCGGCGGCACTGGCACAACATGCCACACAATGTCCTGCTGTGAGTGGTGGCACTGGCACAATGCACCATGTGTCATCCTGCCACAAGCAGTCACAAGTGGCCGCAGAAGAAGTCAGGTAGCAGAGAGACAGGTGTCGGGGTGTGGTAGGCCCGGCTGCGGCAGTCCTAAGGTAAATGGGTTGCAGGGCAAGTGGGATAGCTCCACCCCTTCTACCCCCACCCTACCTTGATTTTTATGCATGCACTTCACCCCACCTCATACAACCAGATGGTGGATGGGACTTAACTGGGGCTTATTTTGGGGGGTAGGGCTTATATTAGGCACAGGCATGAAAATTGGAATAGGACCTATTTTGGGGGTAGGTTGTATTTTAGAGAAAACCTGATAGAAGCTTTCTCTAAAAACTTGTTCCCCACAACCACAGCCCTGTGAGGGAACTTAGGTTGAGAAAGCACGACTGATCTTAATGGGCTTCCATGGGTTGAGAACTTGATTCTTCCTGTTGCTATTCCTTCTACCAGCTCTGGACTTAATGGCCTCATCCCCCTCTGCAACCAAAGGTTCACCTACCTCTTAGGATATTCCCAAGTGCAAAGGTCTGCTGGAGAGGACCATCCAACGATCTGTGTTGAATCTGACAGGTCAGCTGAGACTTCACGTCGCCTTCCTCCAGCGGGATTTCCACCCTGCTCTCTGCTCGGTAGGAGATGCTCCGCTTTTCATCAGAATTCAGGATGTTGGTCTGGGCAGCTGGTATTTTTTTCCCATCCTTCAACCAGATGACCGTGATCTCTGAGGGGAAGAATCCCTCTGAGTAGCAGCTGAAGGAGGCCTGAGACCCTGCTGTGATTCTTTGTGTGGGGCCAAGAACCACAGGCTGGGATGGCTTGGCTGAGGGAGAAAGTAGAGAGAGAGAGACATCAGTTGACGTTCCTCACAGACAATACAGGAGAACACGAGATGGTTTTTGGTTGGAGAGACTCAACTTTGAACATGGGAATTACTCCCATGTGTCTCATGGGTGACTGGGAACTCTCCATCCCTAGAAATGAAGCACAGAGGGCCACTTACCAATTACAGAGACCAGAGTGCCTTTTCCCGAAGCCAGCTCTCTCTCTTGGACCCATGGCACGAATATCACACAATAGTAGGTCCCGGCATCTTCAGGCTGGACATTTTGGATGTTGATGCTGAAGTCTGTGTTGGATCCTGGGATGACCCTGATCCCCCGGTTGGAAGCTCCTTGATTATCACTGTAAATGGGGGGCTGGCTTCTGTCCAGCCCTTTGTACCACCGCATGTTTTCGAATAATTTTTTTGCAGACAGTGTACACTTTAGAGTGAGGGTCTCTCCAGCTTTCACCGATATGGTTTCCGGAAGTTGGGTTATCTCTATATTCTGCCCTGTAACAACTGAAACAAAAAAGAGACACTTTTGTACCTGGGTTTCCTCTAGAAAGTGGTCATCGCTCTTCTAGAGACAGAAATCTACTCGGGGAAGAGGTGGGCTGCTTCAAGTTCAGACCGGTTCACCTGAACCGGTTCTGATTCTGTGCAGTTCGGAGAACCGGCAAATCAGACCACCGACTGGCTCCATCCCTGCCCATTTTTCAGGCCATTTTCTAGGGGTTCATATTCCCCATTCCGATTTTTTTTAGCAACTAACTTGTCGTGAAACTATGAATGGTGAGGCTTATTCTGCTAAATTAATATCTTATAATTGGCCTGAAAACAGTCCGAAAAACTGCCTGAAAATGGCCCAAAAACACTGTCTGCGAGAGGAAGATAAACTGCAAAAACTGTAAAAGTGGTATGAAATGACGAAACCTGTTTAATAAAGATATTACTGAAAAAGAACAAAATATATGCTTCAATATTTACAAAATGTGAGGGGGTGTACTCACTTCTGTGATATACTGTATATATTAATCACTGCCCGTTTTGAGTACATAGCAAAAAGAGGAAACTTGAGAATTCACAAGGTTGATGCTACATGGAACAAAACTGTGGCTGAAGGTGGATGTTCTGCTTCAAATACCATGAAGCCCCCTCCCAGAAGGGAACAAGAAAACAAATTGTGAAGAGGGTTGTGACATGCCAGACAATCCTGCGGACCCTGCTCAAACATCACTTATATGCTATGTCCCGGTTAGAAGGGAGTGAACTGCCAATAACCGGCCAATAAATAAGAAGATCAAGAATGATAATGTCGGCTTCTGTCGGGTACTGGACACTTTTCACAACAAACCACATTTCTCATAGATAAAGATGTGTGATGTTAGAGTTTATTGCAGTTCTTCCAATCACAATCAGCAACAACAACGGCACTCCGTGCAAAGTCAGCATTGCGAGCAACTAACTCTCCATGCTGTTTATATCTCCCTCCCAACTAACCTAACAACTGCCCATTAACTAATTTTCCGCACTCCCGCCCCGTGCTTAATCAATTATGCCTATCTACTCCCTTTTCTCCTACCCCGTGTAGATCACCCCCTATCTGGTTACATCCCATCCTATCCTCCTCCCTGTCCAACGCAGTATCTGCACCAAGAGGGAAACACAGAACTAAAAACAATTCAAAACAATCCACCGTCACCTCATCACGCCCTCTAACTACTGCACCACCACGGCTCACACGGGATATAATCTATACAGAGTAAATTCCCAATATGCCACAATGAGGAATGTTACAAGGGATTTTGAAAGAAAAAGAAGAAGTGAACAATCTTGAGATTGTCACTTTAAATCTAAACTGAAAATTGAAAATGTGGACATAATTGAAGGCACAGTAATGCCAAACTGATGGTGCATTTGACTCCACCTTTTAGGCTCAGCCTAGTCAACTCCTACAGCTAGGTGTTTTCACTTCACCATCTTGGTTCCTCCCTCCCTAAATTGTTTTATAAAATTTACTAAATTTTAATTCCATGAGAGTTGTAGGGCCTGGATTTTGGTTTCGTTCTGTAAATTAGTCTAGTCGAGACACCCTGGTTTAAAAACTATCACTCTGTGGTGCACTGTTGCACTCAGTTAACGGTTACATACAGACAAAAGAGGACAGATTTAGTAGTATATAGCTATATAGATGTAGATGTTGATAGGCAGAGTTGGGAAAGATGCAAAACAACCCACTTCAAAAATAGAATCCCAGATTTTAAAACAGGGGAGGGGAATAGAGTAATTCTCCTTTGACAAAGTTGTGAGGTCAGGCCTGAAGCATGACTTGGAAAACAATGGATTTTGACAATCTCTTACTTCCACTTCAACACTTAACAACTTTTCAATCAGGCAGTGGAAGGTGGCAATAACTGGTGGGCTCTGCTTGGACATTAGTTGGCCTTAAGCTAACCCTACCAGGGAGCATAAGCAGAGATTAAACACCAAGATGACTACCTGGCCAACAACCAAGCAATGAGATGTCCCAATCTCAGACAAAGAAGCTAACTGGAAACAATAGTCCAACCAAAGATGGTATGGTCCCAATATCTTGAAATCACCACCCCAAGGATCAAATCAAACCAGGAGGTCCCAGTTGATCCCAGAGCTCTACTGTTCTTCCTCACTTGTTCCTCACGTAGTCACTTGGGGTGGAACCAATGAAATAAATCTTCACCTCCCCCAGGGAAATCTGGTCATCGCACTGTTCAGAAAAGAACATCAGGTTCAAAGCAACCTTAATATTACTCTTGCGCTGGATTCTACTCCAGTTGTAAATCTGAAAATAGAACCTCCCTCATCTCCATTATCAACACTCACCCAGATCCTGCAGAAGAAGAAGCAGCGGTAGCAGCTGAAGAGGACCAGGGATTATCTTGAAGGACTTCAAGGCAGCCATGCCGACAGCAGCAGGAGAAACATCTGGAGTGACTTTGCATCTTACCCACTAAGACTTTCTTACAGCAGGAGGAGAAAAAGAGGAACTCTCATTTCCTCATCAATTTGGATCATTTCTCAAGTTTGAGTTACTAAGGAAGTGACCAATATCCAATCAAGGAGCTCATAGAAATTCACAGGAGTCCCATCGACTGGTTCATTGGTTGACTCCAGTGATTTGGAGGTTTGACCAAATGATGGTGGGACCTGGGTTTGGAATTACTATTTAGTGTATGACGATTTATAGAAAGCCAGGAATCTACTATGTCGGAGACAGTAGATGTTTGGTAGCTGATGCGACCCAGAAGTGACCACCAAGTGCATCCAAGTGTCCACCAAGGCATATCCAAGTGGGTGATGTCACCGTTGCCTGGAACACCCAATGGGGGCTCTCATCCCTGCATGGGTTTCCACCAAAGTGATGCCTATTTATCTACTTGCATTTTGATATGCTTTTGAACTGCTAGGTGAGCAGGAGCGAGCGGTGGGAACTCACCCCATCATGCAGTATCTGGGTCTCGAATTCGAGCTTGCTGATCGTCAAGCCTGTCTTCTAACCATAGAGCCACCGTGCCAATTGCAGGCGTCTGGCAGTCAGCAGAAGTAGCCTGCAATACCGCACTCTAACCACTGCACCACCATGGAGTGGTAGGAACTTAGTCCTAACATTCATTGGTCGCAGGAAAACATCTATAGAACATACAAATTCACCTAGTAGTTTCCTGGGTTGTTGTTTTTTTTTGGGGGGGGGGGGGGGGTTGGAAATTGGAGGTTCCGTACTTCTAAAATGGCAAATGGGGGAAATGATGAAATTTGGCCATTAAGGACAGCCCGCAACTTCTGTATTTTTAAGTATAGGATGCACTTTCCCGAATGGGCAGTGGTGAATGGGCCACAGCGAACAGGCCGCGGTGAACAGGCAAATGGGCTGAGACAGTGGAGAATGGGCACGGGTGAACAGGTCATGGCGGCGCGAATGGGTGGCGGTTAATCGGCTGCGGCAAAAGGGCCAGATGAATACCGGTTGTATGCTGGGGGGCAGAGGCAGATTTTTTCCTCTTCTTTTCCTCCCCCAAAGCTAGGTGCGTCTTATACTACGAATGGGCAGAGAGGGTCAGGGCCAGCCAGGGGCACGATTTGCCAGTTCTCTGAACTGCAGAGAATTGTAACAACCGGTTCTATAGAACCGGTCTGAACTGGTAGAATCCCACCCCTGCTTAGAACTATAGAATAAGGAACTTCAAACATGGTTCCAAGCTTTTCCTGAGGTGTCTGGAGAAAATAAGATAAGCTTTGCTGCCTTTTTTTTTTTCTGTGAGCACACTGGCACATGTTAACAATGAAATGTTAACTGGTGTTGAGGTATTCCCCATTAGGAGAATGAGTGCACTTAGGGAAACGTTGTGAGAGTGGTGAGGAATAACACCCAACCAGCATACAGATACACTGAATAGTAAAAGGTAGGTTTTACTTCCAGTAAACGGGTAAACAAAGTCCAACAAACAGTCCAAATCATGCACGGTTAAAGCAGTTAGTATTCAAAACAATCAGTCCAGGGATAATCCAAAAACAAAGTCCAGTATCATATACAAAGTTCAGGAAACGGAGTTTGCTAACAGTTGCAAAAACTCACAGCAACCCAAGTAGAACGACGATCAGGCAAATATGGCAAAACAGGAAATGCAAGAAGAACAAACCAGGTTTCTGGCTCCATCTTATGGCCGTTGGAGGAACCTCAGCCAATCACAATTACAGCATTCTCTTAAAGATACAACATTAAATAACTATCCTGGTTTATATATTTCCAACCCAACTGTTAGGTGACTATCATTCCTAACAGAATGTACAAGAGTGTACGTATACATAACACACATATACACATGCTATATACATACATAAATATATACCTGAACCATATATATATATGATTGCACTGGCATGAAGCTGAAAGCACCAACCTGAGGATGGCGAGTGGGACATTGCCAAAACGTCACCAAGATACTCTTAATCTTACACGGGAAAAGACCCGAACGCGGGTATTTGTATGTGGATCTTTGGTTATTCGGGTTTTCTCCCGCGTAAGATTGGAAGTATCTAGGCAACGTTTCAATGATTTCTCATTCATCATCTTCAGGCTTCTGTCTTCAGCTCTGTGCTTCTCAGAGTAATGTGAGCTTGCAGCTGCTTCTTCCTTTTAACTGCTAGTGGGGGTGTGACTTGATTGGGTGGGGGCTTGGCTGTGTTCTGATTGGGTGGGGATGTGTTCTCATTGGTTGGGGGCCTGGCTGTGCTCTGATTGGCTGGGGGGCTGGCTGTTCTCTGATTGGCTGGGGGTGTGTTCTGTTCAGGTGGGGGCTTGGTTGTGCTCAGGTTAGTCTTAATTGCTGGGGGATTTGAGCTGGTGAGCTGTGATCTTGCTGTTTGGCTTCGTGTTCGTGGTCGTGCCACATCTTCATGGTGGGCGTCAGTTCGCTTCATGTATGAGTCGGAGGGGTTTGAAGCGGGTAGTGATGCAGCTGCAGTGCGGCTTCTGGTCCGTGGTCGTGTCTCATCTTCTGTGTGGGTGTGAGTCTGCTTTCTATGTGGAAGTGTGGTGGTAGCATCTTGTGTGGCCCTCGTGGGTGTGGGTCTGGTGTCATTCTTCATATTAGGTACTCGTCTGTTCATACACACACACACACACACACACACACACAAACAAACACACATATATACATACACACACACGCACGCACACACACACACAAATATATATCAATATTGTGGCTCCAATTCCCGATCCTGTGCTGTTAGAGGAAGAGGACTTGGAAGATGAGGAGGAGGAACTGGGAATGCCTTCCTCCCCAGGACCTTCCTCTCTGGCAATGCCTTCCTCCCTGATAATGCCTCAGGTTTCAGCAGACAACCGAGAGGAACAGCCTGAGATTAATCAGGAGAAGGAGGGCATATCGGAGCAGCCCCTGACAGGGAGTAAAGAGGAAGAGTGTTGGCTTGATCCTAGGCAGCGTCGTAGGGAGAAACGTGAGCAGCAATGTAGGAGGCGTGGGAGGGTCAGAGAGTGAACTGAGTCACTGAGCCACACCCCACAGGGGATAAAAATGGGTGTGTTGTCGGCTGGAACTTTGTACGGGACAAAGTTTAATCTTACTTCAGGTTTTCTTGTGAATGATTTTCGTGGTCTGCCTTGTAATTATCAGTGAGTAGCTTTTTGCTTGTTATTAATTCGGACTTGGCAAGCAGAGGGTGTTGGAATGCCAAGGACATTATCAGTTCCAAAGAATTAACTCTGTGAAGTCGGAGCCAACTTGCCTGCCTGTGTTTGTGTGAGTTTGTACTCTTTCATCTTTTGGGAAAGAAGAAAAGTGAGACAGAATATATCAATGTCCATTTTGAATACGTAGTGGAAAGAGGAACTTTAGAGTTCACACAGTTGATACTATATGTCAGAAAATCATGGCTGAATCTGGACATTCTGCTTTGGATACCAGGAAGTCTCCTCCCAGAAGGTAACAAGGAAAATAGATCATGAAGAGGATGTGTGGCATGCCAGGCAATTCTGCAGACCCTGGTCGAGCATTGCTTATGATGCTATCTCCTGGTTAGAAGGGAGTGAACTGCCAATAACCTGCCAATAAATAAGAAGATCAAGAATGATAACATTTTTGGCTCAATTAATACACTGGGAAGCATAAAAAATGACTTAGAAATATGTAACGTATGCAGAATAAATTCCCAATATGCCACAATGAGGAATGTTCCAAGGGATTATTTAGTACACTTTGAAAGATAAAGAAAAAGTTTGAGATTGTCACTTGA